AGAAACTTCAATAATTATGTATAATTTTCTTTAATAAAATAACTTTGTAATTCTAAATAACATATCGATTTGTCACTGTTAATGTATAACAACCTCGTAAACTTTAAAACTGATAAATTATAAATTTAGTACGGAAATGAAACAAATAGTTAAGGTTTACATTTTTTACACAATTACTAAAAGTATCAAATAGGATTTACGAGAATAATCCTTCTAAAAAAATAACTAATAACCAAACAAATAAATTAAAAGTAAACAAACTGAATGTTTTACTCGCAATCTTCTTGTGGATCGAGCTTTGGATCCTAATCCTCTTGATCTGAAATGGTTAATAAAAGAGTAAGTTATACTACTTCAGTAAAAATATCACGCTACTCACCAATATAGAAATGAAGATTGGTAGAAATAATAAAAACAACTAATAAAGCTTTTTGATTTAAGTAGATTCGTTTATAATAAATAAAATCATTTACCATATATTTACTGTAGCGAGATTACTAAAAACAACCTATAAAATCAATAACATAACACATATCATAATTTCATATACGATCAGTCGGAACAATAACATTTTCTTTTATCAGTCTACTGGTATCCATGGGGGTCCATAGGGATGACCCCACAACGCGTGAACCCTCTTTTTTTAAAAAAAAAAAATTAACAGGCTGTCCCCATACTCCGTCCAGTATGAGCACCAAAAGATACTATCTCTTAATATCTCGTCCAGTATGAGGGTAAAACAGGTCTTGCCCATACCCCGTCCGGTATGAGCGCCAAATTACCAAATCTCGATACCCTATCCAGTATTAAGCAACATTCACGATAGAGTTTCCTATGTACCCGGTCTGCCCACTATCTCTCAGGATATCCAGTAAAACTACTGTTTTATCCATCCACTTAATCAAACAATTTTCTTTTTTTCTTTAATTTTCAGTTTTTCAATTTAAAGTAATCACACAAAACAAGCAAAACATGTATCAAAGGAATACAATCGCATCATCATACCAATTTTAGTGCATTATCATGCACTCGAAAACTGTAAAATCAGGCAATTGGTTAAACATATCAAACAATAATAAATAATCAATTCCAGTTCCATTACTAACATATAATTAATTACGAATATTTTTTTAAGTTTCACAAAATACCATATTATTTAAAATTAAATTTCAATTCCATAATATGGAATAAGATGATGAATTCTTACTCAAATTGATGTTCGAAATACTAAACTTTTGACTGCGCCTACGGGTGGTCATTGGGTTCCCTGAATTTTTCTCTAGGGATTAAAACGCACTTTAAGTACCTAAAAATATCCTAAAAAATTCAAAATCAGTATTAGGGAACCTTTTTGGCCAATTTTAGAATTCTTGCACGGCGGCTCCACCGTGCTCCGGCGACGGCACCATCGCCCGCAGTGGCCGTTTGCCTCGAATCTGTTGTTTTTTGCCGTTTTTGGCTGAATTCAACCGGTTTTGTACCAATCCCTATGAGAAAACACATTAATGGGCATCGGTTGGCCGAAAATAATTAAAAAACTAAAACTTATCGGCGGCGA